TGGGTGTTGATTGTGGATCCAAGTAAAATGAAATCCTTGACAACTTCAATCTTTTCTCCGTTTATCATGATGCTGCTTATTGGTCCAGTTGTGAGAACTTTTGTTTTCTTTATGTTGAGATGTAATCCATACCAAAGGCTGTGGTCTTTGATCTTCATCAGTAATTGCTTCAAGTCCTCTTCACTTTCATTTTCATAACGCAGGTGTTAATGAATCTTCCTTCAATCCTGATGCCCCATTCTTTATATAGTTCAGCTTCTCAGATTATTTGCTCAGCATACAGATTGAATAAGTATGGTGAAAGGATGCAACCCTGATGCACAACTTTCCTGACTGTAAACTGCGCAGTATCCCCTTTTTCTGTTCAAACGACTGCCTCTTGATCTATGTACAGGTTCCTCATGAGCACAATTAAGTGTTCTGGAATTCCTATTCTTAGCAATGTTATCCATAATTTGTTATGATCCACACAGTCGAATGCCTTTACATAGTCAATAAAACACAGGTAAACATCTTTCTGGTATTGTCTGCTTTCAACTAGGATCCATCTGACATCAGCAGTGATATCCCTGGTTCCGCGTCCTCTTCTGAATTCAGTTTGAATTTCTGGCAGTTCCTTGTCAATATACTGCTGCAGCCACTTTTGAGTGATCTTCAGCAAAATTTTACTTGTGTATGATACTAATGATATTGTTTGATAATTTCCATGTTTGCTCGGATCACCTTTCTTTGGAATAGACATAAATATGGATAGTACTGAATTTTTGCTTCTCTTAATGCAAGTGTGGTTAAGCATCTTTTTGTATGTTTGCAAGCCATTTGCGTCTCCTTTCCTATGAGCTCTGCTCTATCATTTCCCATTTTCCTCCTATTGGATTGTTGGTTTTTTTCTTTATTGACATCTAGAAGTGCTTTACATATGGAGGAAATTGGTCTTTGCCAACCACGTGTGTTGCAAATACTTTTTCCACTTTGCTGTTTGTTTTTGGACTTTTACTTTTGCCACTTGATTAAAAAAAATTTATGTAACCAAATTCACTATTTTTTGAAAATGCCTCCTGGGCGTTGTCACGCAAAGAAAGGTCTTTCCCATGCAGAGATTTTATTTTTAAAAAATTCTATTATTTCTAATGGTTTTCATTTTTAATGTTGAAATTTCTGATCCATCTGAAATTAATTTTGGTGTGAGGTGTGAGGTAGGGATCCAGCTTTATTTTTCCTAGATGACCACTCACTTGTCCCAATGCCATTTATTGGATAATGTACCTTTTCACACTGATGCTCTTTTAATGTTTCTCTGCCACATATTTAGCAGGGAGGCTGAGGAAAGGAGGGCTGCTGGGCAGCTAAGGCCTCAGCTCAGTTTTATCAAATAGTTCCATTTTAGGATCCAGTCTTGCAAACTACACACAGAAAAGCAAAACCCTACTGGCAAAGAGCCCATCTCTCCTGGGAAAGCAGCTTAGTGATGCCTGTTCCTGCTCAACCTCACCTTTCCCCAATCCCCACAGTTGAACAAGGTGCACCTTCCAACCCTGGGCTCTTTCTCTTTTCACACAGGGGATCAGGGAAGTGACTTTCACCCTCTCTCTCTATTTCCAGGTGGCTGCCCTGGCATCTCCTCAGCTGACCCACCTCTGACAAGAGCTGTGTTGCTACCACTGGTTGGATGCTGTCTTAGCCTTGGTTCTACAGAGGAGGAAAACCAGTGAAGCGTGTGTACATATACATACAGAAACAGAGAGAAAAATTTACTTCAAGGAAATGGCTCATGCAACTGTGAGGAAATGGCTCACCAGTAGTGGGGGCTGGCAAGTCCCAAATCCATGGGTCAGATGACAGGCTGAAGACCTCTGCTGGCTCACATGGTTGCAGGGGCTGACGAAACCAAAATATGCAGGTTAGGCAGCAGGGAGGAGGCCTCTGCTGGCTTATGTCCCAAGACCGGAAGTCAAACTTCTAGAAGATTGCAAGGTGAGGGGGAGGGAGAAAAGGGGGAAGAGGAAAATGGGGAGGGGGAGGGAGATGGAGCGCTTTGCCAGTGCATCTGTTTATATACTTGGTGCAGGCCACACCCGCAATGAAACTTCCCTTTCAACTGATTGTCTGCTCACATCAGATCACAAAAATGGGAGGTGATTACACAGTGTCTGTGGAACCACTGAGAATCATAGCCTAGCCAAGTTGACACATAACATTAACTATCACAGATGCCAACTTTGTGCTCATCTCTACACTGAGGGCTTAGAAGGCTTCCTCTCATTTAAATCTTCACAGCACACTTTGAAGTGGAAACTCGGATCACTCCATTTTAGGGATGAAGAAAGCTAGGCTTGGAGAGATTAAGCTGCTAGCCCAAGGTCCCACGGTTTGTGTGTAGCAAGGCCAGGATCTGAACCCAGCTCGAAATTCAGAGCCTGAACTCTCAGCTGCCATGGGTGCGTCATCAGAAAGCTGTGGCTGAGCACCTCCCCATGCTCCACTGCATTAAAGGAGGTCTGGTTGGCCCTGAAGGAGCCCCTGGGTGGTACAAATGGTTAATGCTCTTGGTTGCTAACCGAAAGGTTGGTGGTTCAAGTCTACCCAGAGGTGCCTTGGAGGAAAGGCCTGGTGATCTACCTTCAAAAAATTAGCCATTAAACACCCTATAGAGCATAGTTCTACTCTGACACACATGGGGCCACCATGAATTGGAGTTGACTTGATGACCTCTGATTTTGGGGGAGCCACCCTGAGGCAGTGGGGTGATGCTGAGGAGTGTCTTGAGCACTCCCAGTTCTCCACACCTTATCGCATCTGAGAATTCCCTCAGGGCAACCATGACGACTATGACAGCAGTCCCAACCCCACGGACCAGGACCCCACTCCCCTCATCCTCTTCCTGTTGGTTCTCATCAGGAAACTTACCTCTCCAGCAATCTATGACAACGCTGGATGGCAATGGGTAATGGATGGGTTTTATATTTTATTATGTCAGTTTTAATGGTAAAGGCCAGACAGTGGCCAGTGCACACTCTGGATTCACTGGGGAAGCCAACAGCTGTTACATGTAATGGGAGGGGCTTCCCAGGGTCCCCTCTGACCAACCTCTCTAGCCCTTACTCCTCCACCCCCACCCTGCCTGGCACAAGGCTTGGAATTCCCATTATAAGATCTACTCTTTAAGGGCCACTTGGATCATTGCTTTCTTTTTCTAAATCTGAACGTATTCAAAGAAAAATGACTTTGGTTTGACTTGTGAAAAAGGTCAGGTTATTAAACAGTTGGAAATGTTTATGTACCTGAAAAGGACTGAGAATTCTGAATTTGTGGCACCTCAGCTTTTTCTCAGGGAGGTGTGTCACCCATTTGTGGAGACAAAATGTAAATGCTTTTAAGTGTGCGAAAGGTATTTGGAAGCATGAGCATCATAACTGGCTGTGCCATCAGGAGAGGTGGTGATAGCTCAGCTGGCTACCATGTTAAATGGGATGGGTTCACTTTCGATTAGAATATAGAGTTACAGTGGTCTTGAAATCTCCCAATACGCAGATTCTTTTTACCTTTCATAAACAACTTTTTAATTAGTTTAATTTTAGGTTAATCTTAATTTTTCCCAACTTTTCATTTTGAAAATGTTTAAACCATAGAAAAATTATTAAGAATAATAACTACTGAATTCACCAGTTGTTACCAGTTTGCACATTTGCTTCATCCTCCTCTCTCTATAAACATATACGCTGGTCAAAAACACACATTGGCAATATTTCCTTCCTTCTTTTCTTCCTTTCCTCCTCCCTCTCTCCCTCTTTTCTTCCCTCTCTTCTTTTATTCCTTTTTTTTTTTGCCTCTGAGCCATTTGAGAACAAGCTGTAGACATCCTGACGTTTCATCCAGATATTTGTGCATATATCTTCTAAGATTGTGAACATTCTCTCACTTAAGAACAAAACCATTATCACACCAGGGAATTTAACATGGATACAAATCTAGTGTCTGTGGTTTGTATTCATATTTTGCCAGTTATCCTAATCTTGTCCTTTCCCCTTTGGTCCAGGACCCAACCGGGGACCATTGCCTCAGTTGTCTTGTTTCCTCTAAGCTGAAACACTTCCCCAGCCGTTTCTACCTTTCACAGCGCTGACATTTTTAAAGCACTCAGACTGTCTATTTGGCTGAATGTCCTTCAATTTGTGTTTGATTGTTCCTTATGAAGAGATTCAGGTTAAACATTTTTGGGGGTGTGGGGGGCAGGATTAATCTTAATTTCTATTTTATTTTTGAATAGCTGATATGCTGACATGGAAAAATCCAGAAGGTATAAAAGAATATATACTGAAAGCCTACCTCCTTCCTTGTCCTCCAGCAACCCAATTCTCTACCTGGAAGGCAAACCAGTTCCCAGTTTCCTTGTCTCCTTACAGAGATAACGTAAGTATAATGTTCAATGTTTAATGGTGGTTCCCATTGTCTCTAACTGGAGAGTTCAGTGGGTGGGTGTATCTCATTGTATTATTTGCATGCTTAAAGCCTTGGAAAAACCAGTTACTATGGAGTTGATTCCAACTCATGGCGACCCCAGGTGTGTCAGAGTAGAATTATGCTCCATAGAGTTTTCAATGGCTGATTTTCAACGGCAGTACATCACCAAGCCTTTCTTCCCAGCCTGAGGCTGGAGATTCTGGGAGGAGCAAGCTGTTCCTTGGAGTGGGAGGAGAGCTAGAAGGGCGATCAGATCAGGAACAAGGAACTAGCCACGTCACTGACCAAACAGGGAGGGAGGCCTTTTAGGATTCTCTGCAACTTTCACATTTTTCCTGCAATGAGTGCCAATAATTTTATACGTTCAAGAAAAAAATAAAACCTTCTCAAATATCTGTATACATTCCCTGAGAGCACTTGTTCTAAACCTTGACTGCTGGTTGGAATCACCCACCACCACCACCACTCCGACTCTTGGTGACCCTATGTGTGTCAGAGTAGAACTGTGCTCCATAGGGTTTTCAATGGCTAATTTGTCGGAAGCAGATGGCCATGCCTTTCTTCTGAGTGGAATCACCCAGGGATTTTTAAACTGTTGGTGCCTGGCCCCCCCTACCCAGCAATTTAGATTTAATTGGTTGGCAGTGTAGCCTGCCCAGGTGATTATAATGTGCACCCGATTGAAAACTACTCCCCTAAAGGAGGAGCTCTAGTGGGCAGTGCTTAAGAGCTACAGCATGCTACGGCTGCTAACCAAAAATCAGCAGTTCGAATCCATCAGCCCAGCCACTCCTTGGGAACCCCATGGGGCAGTTCTACTCTGTCCTGTAGGGTCGCTGTGAGTTGGAATTGACTCGATGGCAACAGGTTTGGGTTTTGCCCTAAAGGAAGTATAAGAAGCCCTGGTAGTGCAATGGTTAAATGCTTTGCTGCTAACTGAAAGGTTGGCAGTTCAAACCCGCCAGAGGCTCCATGGGAGAAAAGACCTGGCAATCTGCTCTTGTAAAGATTACAGACTAGAAACACTATGGGGCAGTTCTACTCTGTCCTATAGGGTCTCTGTGAGTCAGAATCAACTCGACAGCACACAACAACAACGTAGGAAGTATATGCTAGAGAGGTCCAATCAAAGATATTATACATCCATATAGAGTTACTGAACATCCATATAGAGAGAGATCGTGTTCAGCGTGTGGGCTATGTACAGATCCAGGGCACTCCATTTACAGAGCCTATGATGTGAATAGAGCCTCTCTGGAGTAGTGCAAGGTGGCAGCCTGGTAAGTATGGATATATAATTTATATATTGATAGATACATAATTTAAACACTAATTGCATCTGTTAGCTACAACTTTCCATGGGGAAGGGCAAAGTGACATTCACTAGGATATACAGAGCATTTTAGAAGATGTAATCTGTGTCATCTGGAAGTTTAAATCAGGTGAAGGCCAAGATAACAATAAAAATATCAAGAGCTAAGGTGACCATGTCAGTCTGGAACCTGGGGGTAACCCTCCACACGGACGACTGAGAGATCATGGCCTGAAAGGGTTGTGATGCATGTAGAAGCCCAAGTGCAGGAAGGAAGTCACCAGCATGCAGTCCATCAACATGTGGCTGGTAGGGGTACTTTTGGGACAATGGGGCAGCTGTCATGTGGGGATCTTCAGCCTCTGCCATGAAGCTTTTTTGTCTCTGCCTTTTGAGATACCATCAATTCTTTGTCATTCCTTCCATTCAGAGATAGAATCTAATTCTCTGCCCCTTGAATCTGGGGTGGCCATAGCAAGCGATGCTATGTAAGTACCAAGGCTACAGCTTCTGTCTTTGCCTCTTTAATTACTCCTTCTTAGTATATAATTGCCATTTTGTGAGGAAGCCCAAGCAGCCAAGTGGAGAGGCCCACACAGAGAGGACAAAGCCTTCCAGTCAACAACTGTAGCTGAGTTCCCAGCTGATAGCCAGTCCAACTGGGCCATGTGAATGAGGACATTCTGTACTTTCCAGCCATTCCAGGGTCCCAGCTGGCACCACATGAAGTAGAAAATACACCCGGTCAACCCACAGAATTGTGAGAAATACATTTTTGTATTATTTAAGTCACCAAGTTTTAGGGTATTTTGTTATGTGGAAATAGGTGGTCAAAGCAGGGCAATTTCTGGTCTGCATTGTGAATAGGTCAGGTAAGCCTATTGGAAGGATATGTGGGTTGAACTGGCTCTGGGACCTTGTGGGGTCAGAGGTGAGGACAGATCCCAATAGAACAAGGGTTCTTTTTTATATATTTTTTTTTATTTAAATAGATATCTCTGCTTCTGTAGAGATTTACAGCCTTGGAAACCCGTTGTGGTTGCTATGAGTTGGAATTGACTCGATGGCAGTGGGTTTGGTTTTTTTTCTTGGTTTATGTACATGGCAACAAGTCAGACATATCAGAAGAGCTTATAAAGAAAAGCAACTGAGTTCCTACCTGCCGTACCTGCCCCTACTCCCAAATACAATGTCTTTTTTTTTTTTTAATTGTACTTTAGTTGAAGGTTTACAGAGCAAACTAGTTTCTCATTAAACAATTAATACACATACTGTTTTGTGACATTGGTTGCCAACCCCGTGACATGTCAACACTCTCTCTTTCTCAACCTTGAGTTCCCCGTTACCAGCTTTCCTGTCCCCTCCTGCCTTCTCATCCTTGCCCCTGGGCTGGTGTGCCCATTTAATCTCGCTTTGTTATATGGGCCTGTCTAACCTGACTAAAGGGTGGACCTCAAGAGTGACTTCATTACTGAGCTAAAAAAGTGTCCAGGGGCCATACTCTGGGGGTTTCTCCAGTCTCTGTCAGACCAGTAAGTCTGGTCTTTTATTTTATTTTTTTTTGTGAGTTAGAATTTTGTTCTACATTTTTCTCCAGCTCTGTCCAGGACCCTCTATAGTGATCCCTGTCAGAGCAGTTGTTGGTGGTAGCCAGGAACCATCTAGTTGTGCTGGACTCAGTCTGATAGAGGCTGTGGTAGTTGTGGTCCATTAGTCCTTTGGACTAATCTTTCCCTGTGTCTTTTGTTTTTTTCATTCTCCCTTGCTCCAGATGGGATGAGACCAGTGGAGTATCTAAGATGGCCGCTCACAAGCTTTTAAGACCCCAGACGCTACTCACCAAAGTAGGATGTAGGACATTTTTTTTATGAAATATTTTATGCCAGTTGAACTAGAAGTTCCTTGAACCATGGTCCTCAGAGCCCTCAGCCCAGTAATTTGGTCCCTCAGGGAGTTTGGATGTGTTTATGGAGCTTCCATGACCTTGTCTTGGACAAGTTGTGCTGGCTGGACCAGCATTGTCTACTGTCTTACCTTCACCAAAGTTACCACTTATTTATTGTCTGTTTAGTGTTTTTCCGTCCCACTCCTCTCCTCCTTCATAACCATGAAAGATTGTTTCTTTCTGTGTGTAAACCTTTTCATGAGTTTTTATAGTAGAGGTCTCATACAATATTTGTCCTTTTGTGATTGACTTATTTCACTCAGCATGATGTCCTCCAGATTTATCCATGTGAGACAGCATCTTTTAGCGATTCCTGTTTTTAGTTTTTCTGGTAATTATCTCCAGACTCCAACTCACATACATTCTTATACCTATATTTCTTGATTAACAACTTTAGACAATAGCTCTGATATCTAAGATGATAATTTAGTGCACTATTTCCTATGTTTGAACTTTCTCTTATTATTTTTGGTTCTTATATGAACATCTCCTATTCCAGCTACAGTTGCTGATCTCGATTCCCATTTTTATGAGGGTATCAGCGTTCTCCCTTTCTTTCGGCTTTTCTCCTCCCTTCAGTAGCCCATTTATTACACCTCTACTTTTACCACGTCATAGTGTTGTAGTGTTTAATCTGGGGTTCACGAACTTCTGGAGGAACATTCATGAAATTCCACAAAATTAGGTGCAAAATTGTGTGTGTTTAGGTTCCATTCCCTGGGAAGAGTCCAGAGCTTTCATTGGATTCTCAAAGGGGTGTTAAGGCCCAGATGTGGAATATTGGACTCTGTGTCCAACATCTTCCATCTGCCATCCAGATCCACCCTCCTACTTCTCCACCCACCCTCTGCCCTGGGAAGTGTCAAAAATCTAAATGCACAGAGAAACACCAAAACTTAGTGTGACAAAATATATTTATTGTGAATAGATACAATTTGAATCAGGCAGCCTCAACCTGAATGTACTGGGAAGGCACTCAAAGAGGGCACAGTGAAAATGGGTTATATAGGTCATTGTTATGTCAATATCTTGGGAGATAGCATCAGATCACAGTGCAAGGTTTCAGGGTCGGTCAGTTACAGTCACCAAGGATATGCCGTACATCCTAAAACACAGCCTATAGTCAGACCCTGGAGTTTCTGCTTCTGTAAGCTGGCTGCACATAGATAATTTTCCAAAAGAACCCAATGCCTAAGGTAAAACGATCTCCCCTAAGCTGCTTACTAAGCTATTTGACCTGAAGGTGACTCCAGGGAAACAGTTCCTTAAAGGCTCAAGGTTCAAAAGGACACCTAAGAGTAGATGGCCTGAGTGGGTTACCCTAACTCTATGAACCCAGAAAGCTGGATACCAGGAGAAACATAACTGTTTTGTCAGTGGCTAACCCACAAGAACTGCATCAATGTTTCTTGCACACTTGGCTTCTGGGTTGGGTTCAGCCAATGGGGAGCCCTGGCAGGAGTCAGAGGAGAGGTGGTGAGTGAGGAAGGGCATTTATTCCAATGGTTCCCTCTCTGTGGGGCCTTCTTGGGCTGGCTGTGTCTCAACTGAAGGACCCTACTCCTCTCAGGGTAACCTTTTCTACACAACCCATTTCTTCCAGATTTCAGTAACTGCCCCCCTTTCCTTGTGACCTCAAGCCTAGGGATGATAGCAGCTTAGCTGCTCCTAGCCCCAGGTCACTGCACTGTCCCTTGTGCTTCCACCACACCCTATCCATCTAATAGTCCCCTTAATAACTTACCTTGAAATATCCAAATTTGACTATGGTATTTGCTTCCTGTTGGGATTCTGTTATTGATCAGGTTCTTTGGATACTGGCTATGATATGGAGATTGTGTGCAGGAAGTTTTTGTGGGGTGAACTTGGAATCACCCCCTGTGGAAGGAAGCAGAATTGGGCAAAGGGAGAAGTTGAACTGTGATGTCGTCTCAGTGGAAGACTGAACTGACCCTATGGGGACCTCTGAAGTGGGATGGTCTTCAGAGTTATCTGGAATAGATACATGGGGGCCAGGCCTTTAACCATACCCCTGTTAAAAATAAATAAAATTTTCACAATATTAAATTTGTGTATGAACTCATTAGCTTTATTTTTTAGTTCATGAACCAGGGAATGTCTGGTCTGGAAGTCAGATGAGAGTTTCAAAGATGAGAAAACCTCCAAAGGTGCTTATACCCCAACCCCTCAACACTGCCATGGAAATGGGGCCAGAACAGTGTTTTTCTAATAACAATTTATCCTAGAACATAGCTTCCAGTCAGACCCTGGAGTTTGTGTTTCTTGACACTAACTGAATTCTTCAAAAGAGCACAATGCCTAAGGCAAAATGGTCTTACTAATTAGCAAGACTGTTGTTTGACTTAAGGAACCCTGGTGGCACAGTGATTAAGTGTCAGCTGCTAACCAAAAGGCCAGAGGTTCAAACGCACCAGCCACTCTGTGGGAGAAAGCTGTGGCAGTGTGCTTCCGTAAAGATTTACAGCCTTGGAAACCCTGTGGGACAGTTCAACTCTGTCCTATAGGGTCACTATGAGTCAGAATGGACTCCACAGCATACAACAACAGCAACATTGTTTGACTTGAAGGTGACCTTTAGGAGACCAGTTTCTTCCAGGCTCAAGGTTCAAAAGGACATCTAAGGGCAAATGGCCTGGGTGGGTCACTCCAACTCCATGGACCCCAGAAATCTGTATTCCAGGAGAATTAAAACCATTTCTCACCTCCAAATGACCAGTCATTAGATGCTGGGAGGGGCATAACCTTGGGCAAAATGGATTTCCTCTGTGAGGGCAAGTCCTGGGAAGGCACTCAAACATAAGCTATTGCCAGGCAACAGCCCAGCCTCTAGGAGAGCGAGAGCCTTGGTCTTGAAGGGGGATCAGGGGCTGTACGATAGAATCCACTACAGATTCTGACCCTGGTCTGGTCTTTGTTCTCTGCATCTCTAATAACCAGCAGAATGTCTGGCACATAGTTGGTGCTCAGTTAACGTCTGTCGAATAAATGAATATAAGCCTCAGAGCACTTCTGTATCGCTGTTATTGTAATTTTTAAACTTTTTATTTTGAAATACTTCTTGTGAAGCACAGAATCACCTTGCAAAAAGCAATTTGGCCTTTGTTTTCAGTTGTTTCCAGAGCTGGACCAAAACCTGAGATTAATAGGTAGGGGTTGACCAGACCAAGAAGAATCACCTGGGAGCCTGATGCTGACTAAGCCTCATGAGGTATGATGTAATCTATCATGGCCATGTGGTGAGGTTGATAAGAGCACTGAACCCTTAGGCTCAGATGAGCTTCCTGGTTGGTGACCATGCATGGAGGAGGGTGGCATGTCCCCCTTTGGGACGTGGAGGCTTCACATTGTGACTTCACCCAGACCTCACCTATGTGTCTCTTCATATCCTTTTTGGTTGTGATAGAGCTGTAGTCGTAAGTGTAGGATACTCTCGTGAATTCTGTGAGTCCTTCCAGAAAATTAATGAACCCACAGGGGCAGTGAGAGTCAGCAGGGGGCTGGTGTCTGCCTATTTGGCAGTCTGAAGGAAAGTGTCCTTTTAACTTGTGAGCTCTGACCCATCTCTGGGTGGCTAAGGTTAGAGGGAGTGTGCTGCTTGGGCGGCTGGCAATGAGGTTGGAGAAGAGGAAAGGTGAGGACTGGATCTATTTCCACACTTTGGGAATTGGATTCACGCTGATCCTGACCATGCAGTTAATGACAAAGGTGGGATTTGCCCACTTTGCTTCTTGCTTAGTGCACTTTCAAACTTACAGAAATCTTATAAAAATAGGACAAAAAAAAATCCAGATTTCCCAGTTGTTAACATTTGCTACATTCTCTCTCTTTTTACACACACACACACGCATGCACGCACACACACCTCTCCTTTTTATTTATTTCTAAAACACTGAGAAAGTTGTAGACGTCTTGCTCCTTTACCCCTGTTGAATAGGAAAATTAATAACAGACATTTTACTTTGATTTTAAGGTTTTTCTTATCCAAGAAATCAAATATTAACCATAAAAAGCCTGACCCAAACTGCAAAAGCCTGCCAGAAACTGCTCTACAGCAATGTAAATTTGTTTTAATCCCTTTAGAAGAGGATTACCATTATTTCCTAATTTAAATCTCAAAAACTTTCATGGCTGCAGGTGTGTGGAGGGCCAAATTATTAGCAACGAGGCCAGAAGTAGCCTGATCTCAGTTGGTATCAGTAAAGGGGGGAAGGCAGGGTTCAAACAATTGCATTAAGATTAGCCAATGGTTGATCTTCTATATTTCTCCCTCCTCTTCCCTTTATAAGCTTCACTGTACCTAGCTTCCTCGAGCTATTTGCTCTTTCCGGAGTCAAAATGGGCTCCCTAAATGCATACAGAATAACTGCTCAGAATAAATCTTATGTTCAAATTTTGGTGATTTTTGATAATTTTTAACACCCCTAAATACTTCAGGGCCTATCTTCTAAACAAAGGGCATCTTCTTACACATGCTCAGTACAATGATCAAATTTAATAGGTATAACATGGACTTAAAACTGTTCCCAATTGTCCCTTTAATGTCCTTTATAGAACCCTTCTCTCTGCCCACGCACCCCCATTGGAGGTCCAATTCAGGATCACACATGCACTCAGTTGTTATATCTCTTTAGTCTGCTTTCTTTCTTCTTCCATTGTATCCTCCTCACATCCCTCATGGGAGAGGCTGCTACTCAGAGTTTCTACTCTTATATCCAAACACAATAGTTACATGACATGCTCAAGGTCATGTACTTCATTAATGATCGAGCTGAAATAAAATCCAGGTACCCTTAGCTACAGTCCAGAATCTTTTCCATTGTACCTGTTAAAATATGGGATAGTAATAAACATATTTTCATTCACAGCCTTTCCCTAGTCCCTCAGTCTCTAGAGGATTTTGCATCTGTCTTTTTAATCCAGCCTCTTGTTGTGCTAATTGGATAGTGGGTAGAGAGGCAACCAGAAGAAGCTGTTGGTGTTAGGTGCCATTGAGTAGGTTCTGACTCATAGTGACCCTATGTACAACAGAACAGAACACTGCCCAGTCCTGCGCCATCCTCACAATTGTTGCTATGTTTGAGCCCATTGTTGCAGCCACTGTGTCAATCGATCTCGTTGAGGGTCTTCCTCTTTTTCAATGACCCTCTACTTTACCAAGCATGATGTCCTTCTCCAGAGACTGGTCCCTCCTGATGACACGTCCAAAGTATGTGAGACGAAGTCTTGCCATCCTTGCTTCTAAGGAGCATTCTGGCTGTCCTTCTTCCAAGACAGACCTGTTCATTCTCCTGGCAGTCCAGGGTGTATTCAATATTCTTTGCCAACACCATAATTCTAAGGCGTCAGTTCTTCTTTAGTCTTCCTTATTCATTGTCCAGCTTTCACAAGCATATGAGGCGATTGAAAACACCATGGCTTGGGTCAGGCGCACCTTAGTCCCCAAAGTGACATCCTTACTTTTTAACGCATTAAAGAAGTCTTTTGCCACAGATTTGCCTGATGCAATGCGTCATTTGATTTCTTGACTGCTGCTTCCATGGGCATTGATTGTGGATCCAAGTAAAATGAAACTGAGACAGAGCCCACACAGTGCTATAGTCTTTACCTGGCTTCCTCCCCTACGGTGTTGTATTGCAAAATCATTTCCTTTGCTGGGTTCCCCCTCCCTCAGCTTTGCATCTGAATCCTGCTTTTGCTTGGAGGTTATATGTAAACCTAATTGCGCCTGTGGAGTATGATTAAGAATGTTGCTGACATAACTCGTATGAACTCCCTACTTTTAAACGCCTTTAAAAGTAACTTACCTGCCTGTCCTTGGCAAGTAGTTTTGGCAGCAGTAAGCATCAACTGACTCCATTTCCTTGTACCACGAAATAAAAGTGCCTTTCTTGTTCTCCCACCTCGGTCTCTTGTTTTTTGGCCAATGCGAGTCATGCCAAGTAAGAACCTGGGGTTTTCACCCAGTGACAAAATCTCTGACAACTTCAATATTTTCTCCATTTATCATGATGTTGCTTATTGGTCCAGTTGTGAGAATTTTTGTTTTCTTTATGTTGAGGTGTAATCAATGCTGACGGCTGTGGTCTTTGATCTTCATCAGTAAGTGCTTCAAGTCCTCTTCACTTTTCTCAAGTAAGGTTGTGTCATCTTTATTGCAGATTGTTAATGAGTCTTCCTCTAATCCTGATGCTGTGTTCTTCTCCATAAAGTCCAGCTTCTTAGATTATTTGTTCCGCACACTGATTGAAAAGTATGGTGAAAGGAGACAACCCTGACGCACACCTTTACCGATTTTAAACCACTGTAAAAATGGCAAGGCGAAGGCATCGGACCTCTAACTTCAGGGAAGGAGAATGAAGATCAACAGCCCAAGGCTGATTCCTATGTGGCAGAGGTCAGACATACCTCCTCTCCAACCTTTTTACCAATTCTGACACCAACTGTCCCTCCCATGGCACTCCCTACTTCTCTGCTGGGTTTGATAATTTCATTACAATGGCCACACAGAACTCACAGACCATACTAATGGTTGAAGGGATTATTAGAGAAGTAACATGTTACAGTTCAGGTTCAGGAACACTCAGGATACAATTCTTCAATCAGGACAGCTTCTTCTGAGAGGTGCCCATAGGCAAATCTATCTCTGGCCCTTGGCCCCTCTGCCTGGCCTTGGCCCTGTTCACGCAAGTGTAACATAGCTCTTTTATTTCTGCCAGTAAGTACCTAGAGACACCCCACTCCACCAGTAAGCCTCAGCCTGAAGGCACTCAGCTCTAGATCAGTGGGTCAGCAAACCTAGGTGTACCAAGTGCCCAGAAGCACCCTACTCTGCCAGCAAGCTTCTTCCCTGAAGGCACTCAGCTTTCTTGCTCGGTAGGCCAGGAAGCCCACTAGACCCTTTCCTGCCGATCTCCTGCTTCTGCTGCCACTTCTTGCTGTCTTTGGTGCTTCAGCTCTCGCTCTTGGTCTTGTGATTCCAGGAGTTTCTCATCACAGAGATCCCGGGTCCAAAGGACATGCTGTATTCCTGGCTTCTCTTTCTTGGTGGTAGTGAGATCCTCCCTCCCTTTCCACCTCTAGGATGGTTCATTTTAAGCCTAGTGGGATGGCAAAAGTGACCAATCTCCTCATTAGGGTTCCATACACCTTATTTGCATGGTCCCACTCCCACAAGAGTGCCATGCACCTTATTTACATTATTAGTAATCTATCTAATCCACTTGGTGGGCCACAAGCACCTCATTTGCATAGCCTCATCCAGTCATTTGGTGGGAGTTACAAAGACTATGGCTAGAAGGGCCACATTAAGTAGTTCACTGCACTGCAACCACACAGTATCTCCTTGCTCTGCTCAAATGACTGCCTCTTGGTCTATGTACTAGTTCTACATAAGCACAATTAAGTGTTCTGGAATACCCATTCTTTGAAATGTTATCCACAACTTGTTACGATCTACACAGTCGAATGCCCTTGCATAGCCAATAAAACACAGGGTAAACATCTGGTATTCTCTGCTTTCAGCCAAGATCCTTCTGACATCAGCAAAGATATCCCTCCTTCCATATCCTCTTCTGAATCCAGCTTGAATTTCTGGCAGTTGCCTGAGGATGTATTGCTGCAACTGTTTTTGAATTATCTTCAGCAAAATTTTACTTGCTTGTGATATTAAGATATTGTTCAATAATTTCCTTATTCTGTTGGATCACCTTTCTTTGTAATGCACACATTCCAAGGGAGGTTAAATTGATTTTCAAAAGAAAGCACTTAGAGCTACTCTCTTGTCAGAAAAGAATATCTCTTGAAAATGGGTGTGTAAAACAGAAAGAGGGAGGGAGAAGGTAGTGAGTGAGACAAAAAGCTATCAGGACTGGATTGTTTGAGGATGAGAGAAGAAAGTCTTTGTGCGTGCCTGTCCTGTGGTGTGGGATTTTGGAGAGAAAGAAATGAGTAAAATAATTTTTTAGAAAAAAATCTAGAAAGTTTATAGTCGTGTGTCAGTGTGGGATTTGGTCCCCTCACTCTCCCCCTTTCCTCTCCTTGGTCTCCCCTTTTCTCTCCTCGATCCTCCCTTTCCTCTCCTCATATGTCTGCTTCTTCAGGAGACTTTGTTGTTGGTGTTGTTAGTTGCTATCAAATAGACTCTGACTCATGGCGAGCTTATGTAT